GCCCAAAGTCTCATGTGTCAGAGGTGGGGCTTGTGGAAAGAGACCGGATCGTGGGGGGGTTCCACTCATCAGTGGATCAGTCCGTTGGTGAAGCACAGTTGACCGTGCTATTCGGAGACAGGCAGAAGAGCCAAGTCACTGGGGCTGCCCTGGAAGGGTGTATTGTCATCCCCAGTTCCTCCCTTCATTCTCTGCTTCCTGAGCACCTTGATGTGAGCAGGTTTCCTCCTCCTCCCCACAATGATGTTTCTGCCTTGAAGCCTGCCAACTATGTCCTGACTCTCCTGAAACCATGAGGTAAAGTAAAGCTTTCCTCCTGTAACCTCTTAGTATTAGGTTGTGTCTCAGCCACAAGAAAGCGGACGAACTCACCCAGCCTCTGAGGCACTGCTCATTTATACTCTCACTTTGCAGAGCACTAATTCAGCCTGCCCCCTCTGTATTAGTTTGCTGGGGCTGCTGTAACAAAACACCACAGAGAGTATGCTTTAAACAAATTTATTTGCTCACGGTTCTGAAAGGTGAAGTCCAAGATCAAGGTTCTGGCGGGGCTGGTTTCTGGCAAGCCACCCTTCCTGGCTTCTAGATGGCTGCCTTCTTGCAGTGTCCTCTCCTTTTCATACGGAGAGAGAACTCTGGTAATTCTTCCTCTTTTTTTGAGGATACCATTAAAGCCCCATCATATGACCTTGTTTAACTTTTTTTTTTGTTTTTGGTACCAGTGATCAAACTTGGGTCCTTGTGCTTTTGAGGCAGGTGGTGGAACCACTGAGCTAAATCCCTTGCCCATATTTAACTTTTGTTACCTCCTTCTCGGCTCTGTTTCCAAATATAGTCACATTAAGAAGTTAGGGATTCCACATATGAACTCAGGGTAGGGACATAATTTAGTCTGTAAACTTTCATATTTTCCAGAAGAAACTCAGGCTCCAAAAAGATAGATGATTCCTCCCAGCATGCTTTGGAAATCAGGGCCTAAGCCTAGACTAAACACTACAGTTCTGAGTACAAATTCAGCCATTCTAGTGACCGGTGATGGCTGAGTGAGGTTCAGGGCACTATTTTCCCAGCCTCTGCTCAGAGCCACCACCCCACTAGTGCCCTGAGAATGAGTGGGAAGCTCCAGGAGCACCTGTGGGATGTGTCACTGGTGTGGACTCTGGCATGGACATAGGACACTTTCCCAAAGGACCTTGTGGGCTGGAGCAGATGGACTGATAAGAGGCCATAGGATAATGGTGGTCCGTGTACCCATAGGGCTGGGGTGTACTCACAGGGAGTTGGGGATACCAAGGTTCTGCTATTAAAGACTGAGAAGTCTCAAGGTAGTAGATCTTTGGGGGAATGTAGCCACTCATGTTAACCAAGTGCTATAGAAACCTCTCTCTTTGGGTCTTCACAGCCACACTCACAGGAGCTTTTATAATCCAGGAGTTCAGGTAACCTCCCAAAGTGACACAGCTAGGAAATGGTAGATCCCAGTCACAGGCCAGATCTGTTTGACTCTAGCATTCATGTCCTTCCGTTGCATCTTTTCTCCTGAGTCTTTCCAGCCTCTCCTTTGAATCTCCTTTCTTCTCTGGAGCAGAGGAACGGCCTCTTGGTGATACTTCTGGCCTGGGCCAGGCCTCTTCCCACACTTGGTCAGACTTCGGCATCTCTCACCCCCAGGAGGAAGCATAGGGAAAGGAAATATATGTTGCCATTCTCCAGGGCCTGTCCAGGAGCCAAACAGATCAAATGGGGTGGCGGGGGCTGGAATGTACCGGGCTATCTTTTCCCAAGTTGAGGAGCGGAAGCCATGACAGCTAAGGGGATTTGTGGAAATTCCTCCGTGCATTGTTACCAGGCAAAGGAAGTGGTTTAGAGTTGAGCTCTCAATTTCTGCCCCGGGGAGCCAGGGCCAGTTTCCACTTCTGAAACATTTTTTGTGTGTGTGAGAAATTGAAGGGACTGGTTCAGGTACTGAGTGGGGTGGGGGCTCCAGACAGTGCCGTTCCACCCCTTCCTCCCAGTGGTGAAGGGGACAGAAGGGTCCATTGAGCCAGACAAATAGCCCCAGAATCTGTTCCTCTTCTTTTTCCTTCCTCTTTTTGGGTAGGTGGCTCAGAGCCGAGGCAAATGAACAGAAACATTTTTTTCCAGGCCTGCTGGTATTTGTTTCTGGCACATTGAGCAGCACAAGCAGATTAGAGGAATAAGTTGCATTTCTGAGTCTGTGTTAGTTCCCTGGACTGGACCTCCTCACGCGTGGTCTCTGTGGTTCTGCATGGCTTCGAGTCTACTCTGGAGAGATTGCTGGGCCTAGTGTCCCTGGCATGGCTGCCCAGACCTGCCAGCAGTGACTCATCCCCTGGCCTCTTGGCGGGGGGGTTGTGATGAACTCACCAGGAAAGAGGCACACGCATGTGCATGCGTGTCTCCATGTGGGGACAACACTTGCACACTTACATTTGTGTGCGCTTATGTATACCCGCTGGTGCCTGCTTCCCTTTCCGCTGCTATCCTGGGGTCCCTTGGCTTCTTTCTCAGGCATAGAGCACTCCGTGGGAGCCCTCCACACGGCGCTGGAGGAAGGGGAGGCTGGGCCTTCCAAAGCCCGCACAGATCCCCCTGGAAACTCTTGTTGCCAGCCAGACACAGAGGGCCGTACCAGGCTGCTCCACCTGGGTCCTGCCAGGAAATCCTTTCCCAGAAAATCACCTTTGCGTTGTGACAGAATTCTGGCAAGGGAGAGAAGGACATGTAGACCCACAAAGTCTTTCTTGGCCCTCTACTCTTTCTGGTTAGAAAACCAGGCCGTATCAGCTTGGCCCCAAACACTAAAGATAACCCGCCCTGAGAACTTTCACAAGACAGCAAAGTGGGCAGAAGCCTCACTCCCTCTCCTCTTCCTCTTCCTCCCTCTCTTCCCCCTGCCTCCCCCCACCCCGTTAATCTCTCCATGTGGGCATCTGATAAGCCACAGCCCAGGGACTGCAGTGTCCCCCCTGTGCCAGCTCCTCCTCTGCTGAGACAGTGGCCAGAGCGGAACCCGAGTCTGCCCCACACTCCCTCGGGAGCCAGAGCAGCAGGTCAAGGCTGTGCAGGCCTCGGAGAGATGGAGCTTGTCAGGTGTCGACCGGCGTATTCGACGTGGAAGAATGTCAGAGTTAACAAAGAAAGATTTTTTTTTTCTCTTTCATTTTGAGGGGTATTATTTTGTTTTAAAGTAGCTTACATTTGTAAGACTTCTGGGAAAGGTACAGGTTCCCAATGTGTAAAATACTAATTTTTCAGTCAACATTCCTAATGTCCAAATACACTTTAGGGCTATGAAATCTTCGTTTACAATGAATGATATGTTGTTATGAAGTAAATCGTAGTGAACAGTTAGTTGTAAGAGAACATTTTATGTTTTATTTTTATTTCCACACGCGGTTTATTTTTGCTCTGACATTTTATTATAATTTCTTCCTACAGTAGGTAAAGTGCTCGGGAAGTTAATTTAAACCAGCCCAACTCTCTGTGTGTTTTTTAATATTTGTTTAAGCTTTTATTGAGCTTGTCAGGCAAGTCACTGTGCAAAAATGTAGCCGAAAACCCCTTTTTCCTTCTGCAGCGCCTCCCCATTAATACGAGGTGGTGACAAGAAGATTCTCGCA